AACTTATACTGTTTTTTTATTTATTTTTTTACTACAGAAAACTTACATAAAACAAATATTTTTAACTTATAAACTAATGCAATTGTTTTTCTCTTTTGTTTAATGAAACACTTTGTGAGAGATATAAAAAAACATGTGTTTGTACTATTTACAAGCTTCCACCGTATAATAATTAACAATGCTTTCTGTGTGGAGTTTACATGATGTCCTTGTTCTTGCGTGGGTTTTCTCTGGGTACTCCGGTTTCCCCCACACCCCGAAAATACGTCCAACAGGTTGCCTTCAGTCCCAGGCTGCCCTTGCAAAAGAAATCTGTGATCTCAATGGGATGTGCCTGGTTAAATAACAGTAAAATTAGAAACTAAATTCCAAATAAATGTGATGTGCAGCATGTCACAAATGTTGAGTGACCAGACAGCCAAGCTGCTTACTTGATTTAGAAACAGAGTGAGGAAGATGAAGGGGGGGAAATGGAGGAACAAATGGACAGAAAAACCATCCAGCGAGACAGATACACAATACCCATTAAAGAGAGAGAAAAAATAAATTAAAAAAACAGCCAAGAAAAAAACCACTGAGAGACAAACACTCAGACAAGCAGCTAACAGACAGAGAAAAAAGAAAACCGATAACAGATTTCCCATCATCTCCTATGCCGGCAATATTGTTCTGCTGTCAACAGTCATGGCAATAAGCTGTGACTGAATAATTCTTCTGGAAGTCATTGCGCACCAAAGCTCWCTGTTGATGGTAAACACCCATCCACCTCCATGGAGTGGAGAGGAGAGGACGCTGGATTAGATCCAGGCTCCATTTACACAACAATACAGTCACTTCTGCTGCTTTTCGAGTGTCTGTTACAATAAGAACTCATCATAATGAGGAAGCAAGGACAGGCACTACTTTCCTCGCATAAGATGCAATTTACATAACTTTAAACTGATCAAAGTTAGAAGCCATTCTTCTACRCATCCACATATGCTCATGGACTCAGGATAAAAATAAACTGTGCAGGAGCAGTGTGAGTAATATGACTTAAGTATGAAGAGTCGTTATTTAGGTAATTCACACATTTTTCAAGTTATTAATTTGTCTTCAACTAAATAAAATGGGAGAATTTGACAAGGGAAGTAAGAAACCATAAGAATAAAACTGAAAACTTTTGAGTGCATCAACAAGCTGTGTTTGCCTAGATCCTCTGCATTCATCGTACACGCTCCTTTATTGTTCCATTGAAAACAAAATTGTTTGTGCTGTCTGTTGGTTGTGGTGTGCAGCTAGAAGATGGATCTTTGATTTAACACCTTATGCGATTAATCTCTCAGGCCACAAAGCTCTTCGCTATCATTGACTTTAGGTCAAATTCATCACTGTAGATGACAAAGAGTTTGTGTCCACAGCAGGAGCAAGTTCACATGACAGTGATCGGGTACCACAAGGGAGGTTAAAAAGAAAAAATGCCAAGAAAAAAGAAATTGATCTTGCTGATAAGCATAAGCAACAAAGCATTTTACTGATGACGTATCCAATCATGAATTAGTACATGTATGCTTTCTCAGAATGAAGGTTGACTGATTGAATCTTGGTTGAGTTTGCATGATCTTTCCGTGCATGTGTGGGTTTTCTCCGGGCACTCAGGTTTCTGTCCACAAACTAAAAAATAGGAAAGTGTGATATGGCAAAAAATTCACATCACGATAAATGTTATGATGGGTGGCGGTAATAATATATACAGTATTATGAAATAAAACATAATAGAAAATAAATAAATCACATACTAATTGAGTGGAATGTATAAATATGTATGTGTTAAAAAATTAGACCTCAAAAATCTTCTTTTTAAGGAAAATGAGACCATACAATTTGATTGTTAAGTTCTTTAAAAATCACATTTTAAGGGAGACCTACCTGGTTACATCTAAGTTAAATTATATATATA